AAATGAACCAATCAGAAGTTAGGGAAATGGACCAATCAGGAGTGAAGGAAATAACCAATCAGGAGTGAGCTCAGGGAACCAGTAGAATTCTAGGGGTAAGTAAGCCATTTCAGAGGCAAAAAGTGAGAGAGCCTCTGGGCCAGAGAACTGGATGGTGCTGGCAGGAGAGTAGTGGCCCTGCGTGGGAGTCCTGCCGGTCTTTTTATGGGGCTTCCCACCTCAATACCATTGCTAACAGGGCAATATTCAGTGCAGAGACCTTAAATTGGGTTTATGTCTGCAGTGTGACTGGAGCAGAGTGAAGGGGAAAATGAGAGATGATGGTGACACCAGGAAGACAATGTGAAGAGGGACTGGATCATGTGTGGCCAAAGTAGGCCACCGTGAAGTTTAACTTTGAATGAAGAGACCCTCTATAGAGTTTAAAGTAGAAGAGTGACATGATCCATTTATCTTTCATGTAATAAGGATAACTTGGGCCACGGTGTTGAAAAACATGGTGAAAAATGGTGACAGGGAGGTTGCTGCAATAATCCAGGTGAGAGGCCATGGTAATCCAGACAAAGGAGACCAATAGGAATCTTGCATATAGTATTGATATATTTTTAAGGTAAAACCAACAAAATTTCCTAAATAACATAATATGGCATGATTATGGAAAGAAAGGAGTCCAGGATAACACACAGCTTTTTTTACCTGCCAGGTGATAAAATGGAGTTGCCACCAATTGAAATTGATGGGCAGAGTAGGCTTGTTGCAGAAGAAAAGCTGACACCTGGAGTTCAGTGCTGCACATGAAGGTTGAAATACCTGTTTGACATCTAAGTGAAGATGTTGAGTAAGCAGTTAGATGCAGATGAGTCCAGAGTTCACGAGAGAGACCTGAACAGGAAATAAGGATTTGAGAATTATCAGCATGTGGATGGTATTTAAAGCCTGCAGTTTGATAAGATCATTTAGGGAGTGAATGGAGGTAGAAAAGCAAAGAGGAGTAAGAACTGAGCCCTGGGGAATTGCTTCATTAGGGTTTGGTGAGAGAGAAAGTTACTAGGGAAGAATACTGTGAAGGGGAAGTTACTGAGGGAAGAGGGAGACCCTAAGAATGTGGAATCCTGGAATCCAAGTGAAGCAATGGTTTAAGGATGAGGCAATGATGAGATATGTTATACCTGTTAACAGGTCAATTAATGTGAGAACTGGAAATTGACTTACTGGATTTAACAACACAAGTCAGTATTTTTTAAAAAAACAACAAAAAAATAGGCTTTATAATTATACACAGTATAACTGACAAAGCACCTTTTAAAAAATTTCATTAAATTCACAAACTTAACATGAAGTATTATTTAACTTTTATAGGTAAATATATTGATTTGTAGAAAGATTGCTGAACTGGTATAAATTACATAGCTAAGAGAGAACACAGGTGTTTTGATCATAAATGTTCATTTTTTTTTAATGAAATCCCATTTTCAAGCATAAATGTAACTACCTTGATCTTGTAAATAGAATTCAAATTTTATTAGGACTGTTACTTGAAATACTAATTTTTCCTAGAATATAGTTATATTTACCTATGCCATTTACAACCAATAACATCTTTTCTTATTACATCTTATACAAGTAGATTATTAGCAAACACATTTGCCTGTGGCTAAAGTTCTTCTGCAAATACACTAACTGATGAAAAACAAAGAATGGGTAACAAAGGAAAAGAGAGAATGTGAAAATTCCTCCTTAGATTTAACATCTAATGTCATTTAGACAACTGAGCTGCAGGCCATAGGTTGTTTACATAGTCTACCAAGGGATTGACAGGGATGAGTCTGAGGGCCAGATCCAGCCAGCTACCCAATTTTTGAAATAAAGTTTCATTGGAAACACACAGCTGTTCATTTACATATTGTCTTTGGCTACTTTTGCGCTCCAAAGACAAGCTGTGATAGTTGTGAAAGGCTCATAAAGTCTAAAATGTTTATTATCTGACCCTTTACAAAGTCTGTCAACTGCTGGTATAATTTAAAGAGATTATGACCAGAATATCTCATGTTCTTAGATTTCTTTCTGTGTTTAATTGCTTCCTAATAATGACTTGCTTCTATGTGTCCCTTTGTAGTTTTAAAGTAATTCTGTATTTATCCTCTCATTTAATTCTCAGAGTGTTGGTGAAATAGGGTCAGTGGGGTTTATTTCCATGAGCAAAACTGCAAAAGAGATAAGGGCAGAGGAAAACTCAAATGTCTATTAATCTTTTAATAATCAACACAAATATCGGCGCTTGTGAGAAGACTTTTTCAATTCCCCTAGGAAAAAGTGGTCACTTACCCTTTGAATCCCAACTGTATTGAAGAAGTAGCTCTCATGCCCTTACGATGTGTTATTGCACTTTTCATTAACTTTAACAAACAAACTTGTTTCACTTGTTACAGTAACTTGTAAGCTTCTTGTGCTTAGGGACTTACTAGTTCAACATCCACTACGTGCCAGACATGTGCTAAGTCCATAAATACAGGGATCAATAAGACACACTTCAAAAAAAAAAAAAAGACACGTCTGCCTTCAAAATACGTCTGGTCTAATGAACAGGGTAGTTAATTAAATACAGAAAATGATCATTGTATAGAGTAAGTTGTGCTATAACAAAAGGAATTACCATCCAACTAAGTAGAGGGTGGTCAGGGAAGGCATCTAGGAAAGAATGACATCTGAGTTAATCCATGAAGGAAGATAAAGTTTAGCAAGGTGAGAGAAGAGGGTCATTCCAGGTTAAATGACAAGAAGTGCTAAAGCATTTCTGTGTTTGGGGAACTGCACACGTGGGGAGAAGCTGGTGCAGCACTGAAAGTGTGTGCAGGAGAGATGAGCTCAGACCAAATGATGAGGAGTCTTGTAACATATTGAGAATATTGGATTTAGTCTCAAAAGACCTGGGGTCTGCTAAAAGAGTTTAGGAAAGACAGTGTGATCAGACGTACCCGTTGGAAGAGTGACAATGGCAACAGTAAGGGGTAGATAAGAAAAGGATCATACAGTAACCAGGTAAGAAATGGTGAGGCGCTTAATTAAGGTAGTAGTGTGCGAACAGAGGAAAGTAGACAAATTTAAAAGGAACTAGAAATGATAAGACTTGGTGATACACACATATTGGAAGTTAAAAAGGCATCATAACTGACCCTCTGGTTTCTGGCTTGGGCAACTGAGTAGATGGAACTTTCATTCACAAAAGGAGGTACATGAGGAGGCGCACGTGTGAAGGATGCGGAGTGAGAAGATGAGAAGCGTTAGTTTGGACATGTTGAGTTTTTAGATGCTTGTGGGAAATTCGAATGGAAGTATCCATTGGATACACCGAGTCTGGACCTCAGCAGACATATCTGCCTGGATGCAAAGATTTTAGTGTCTTTAGCATTCATTCAACAAATGTGTACTGAACACCTACCATGTGCCAAACATTATTTAGACACATAGAAACGGTAGCTGAATCCATAAGATTCAGCCATCGAGTGGATAAGACAAGAATACTGCGGAGAGAACCCTGTAGAACACCAGCATTTAAGGAAGGCAGCGGAAAACGAATTTTTAGAGTCGGCTGAGAAGAAAACTTCAGAGAGGCAGTGATAGAACCAGGGAGGTGTAAAAATAGTTCACAAGTGTAGAAACATGAGTAAATTAGTAAATTGAAATAATGCTTTTACCAAGAGTAAGTTAGAGGGAGTTGGGAAGATAGGAGTTTGGGAAGAGAGTATAGACAATGGGCTGAGTTGCTCAGAGACCACAGCTTATACATTGACTCCCGCCTACTGCCCACTCTCCGGCCCAAAACTGTGCGAGGTGCCAGATATGTGATGGTTAGCAAAACAGATTCCTGGCCCACACGGAATGTGTGTATAATAGAAAAGATATACAATAAGCAAGTAAACAAATAGTCTTTACACAATGTCACAATGTGCTATGCTATGAGGAAAACAAACAGGGCTCTGCGATGCAGAAAAATGGCAGGACCTACTTGGAAAAGCTCACCGTTTAAGAATTGTAAAGGCATAAACAGGGAAAAACCATGCTAGACATCTTACCGGTATCCCCTGCTCCTGGAGCAGTTTTGGTGCATCGTAGATGCTCACGCAATGTTAGAGTAATTAACAAATGAAAATAATAAGGAAATTGATGCAATTACTTACTTTCTATTATACAATTACTACAAAGTGTAAAGAGAAATATAAACTTTGAAAAGCATCATAAACTAACCTTTCATAAACCATAAACCACTCATTGACTTTTAATTCCAAGGGTAATTTTCAATTTTTTTTAAAACCCAGGCAGGCAAGCTTAGTGAGTTGTATTAAAAATGCAGATACAATTTAAAATAGCAAATTCATCATCAGAATTGATTTTCCTATTCGTTCATGGTTTCATAACAGAGTAGTTTTGTTCCAACTCTTTCATTTTTTCTACTAGACGTTATGTGATTTTTTTTTAAAGCGATATTTCCTCTTAGAATCCTCTCCTCTTCCCACAGTCTTGTGATTCAGTTTAGCCAAGTATTTCATACAGTCAGGACTCTTGAATATCTATACCTTGAGGTAATTTAAAATAATATTTCTATGATTAGATAAGTTTAGAAAACACATAGTATAGGGTATCCCCCTCGCTGAGAGTTATAATAGTATACACTGTGTTTAAAGGTTTTGAGAAGGTCTATATAAAAGAAGATTCTAGAATTTTAGAAAACAGTTTTCTAAACTTATTTGACCACACGGCTGCTCGATTAAGTGTCTGTACACTCTACTAATCTCCATTCAAAATACAAAAGCGTGACTCTGCAGGTTTGGCATAATGAGTGGGGATGAAGATATTGGCGAGCTGGTGTTAGTCACGGCCAGTTTACAGATGGAGAAATTAAGGCATAGAAGGCACTTACCTGAGGTTACTCAGCTCTTTCAAAACCTAGTATATGGGTACTTTTTAAAATGTATTTATTTTTTTCTTAACAGTACTATTTCTAGGTAAGGATATGGAACTTATCTAAATTTGTATTCAGACACATCTACATTTCCTTCAACAAAATAGAAAGATAATGCAGTTGAAGGTCAAATTTAAGAGCAGTGAGAACAACATCTTTCTTATGCAATGTTATTTTCCCCTCACCAACGTAAATAATCATGGGTTTAATTGTAATTTCAGGTGGCATCTGCTTATTTCAAAGATTTTCACCTACTGCTAATTGGAGTCATCTGTTTAGCAACATCAATAGAAAAATGGAATCTGCATAAAAGGATTGCTCTGAGGATGGTGATGATGGTGGGTGTGAACCCAGCATGGTAAGTACTGTGTTTACTGTTCGAGATTTATATTCCAAACAGAAAATTTTTGTGCAGAGCAAATAACCAGATAAGTAATGCACATCCAGACAATCATTTGTATGGCAGTGTAATTCATGATTTTTTTTCCCTCTCTGCAAATATGAAAGTGATATAAAGGGCACTTGAGTTGGAGGGGGGAAAAAAAACCCCAGCAACTTTCCTTTCACTGCCGGTCTAATTACAGGGAGATTGGAATAAGTGCACACAACTCTGTCACCTTTTATGCACCATAGGAGTCAAAGCCGAGAGAAGCCTTGAACCTCAACAGACAAGACTGATAGACTTCAGAGTAGATTTCAGTGCTATCTTGTTTATTTGGCTGATTACACATTCAAGACTTGTTCAAGAGTATCCTTGATCATCAGGGAGGATGTTAAGAACCAAAGACAAAGACGTTATTGACAAAATACAAATGTGTGCAGAAAAATTCCAAGGTGAACTTTTCTCTTTTTAAATGAACAGTTGCAAAGTGAAGCAATTACGAAGTTTCATCTATAGAATGTGAAAGCAGGCAGTTGACTGAATTTTCCCACTAAAATAAATGTTCTTTTTTCTTTAAATTAATTGGGTGTTTTGATTTTAATTCTAGCTCTTGTTAAGAACATAAATGTGAGTTAAAAAAATTCCAGTGTCATAATCATTTGCATAATGGCATGCTTTAAAGCCTTAGGTGGTTCTTTCCTTCTCATCTTTCTTTAGAAATAGGAAAACTGTATTGAACTGTGTTGCATAATTCATTCTAGGGTATAAGCACGTCTGTGTTTATCATTTGTGGAGCAAACTGTTTTGTTAAATAGAAAAATATTAAATAACTCAGATGAGACAGATCTTTAAAAAAAGATTTGTTACTGAAAAATTTTATAACATGCAGGTATTAAGGGCATTTCAGTCTTAAAATGAAATGATGTTCCACGCTTCTCAAAGCGCTATAGAAATGTGTCTCTTCTTGGCCACTGACCCCAGGGGGTAGACAGAGTGGGGCACTGCATAGTGTGCGAAAGTCCTGTTCATTATACCACTAAATGGCTTTTCAGTTTAAGGCATTTTTACCAGATAGAAGGTTTATTAGATCCCAGCCTTTTTGTATTGAAAGATTTCATGTTTTGCCAATGCCTTAAGTTAAAATTGTTTCTGTTTTTTTTTAATTAAGAATCATTTCTGGTTTAAACAATTTTCTTAAAAGTTTTCTTTTAGAAATAGAAAATATTTGCCTTATTCGTAATTGAAACTTATACTGTGGAATTTTTCTTATAGATCTGTTTCAAAAGAAGAGTCAAAGAATTTCATAAATGGCTCTATATGGAAAGATGTGCTTCTGAGTGATTTTCTGGAACCTCCTACTCATACGAGATCATGTTTTTTTTTTTTCTAAGTGTGATTTTGAAAGTTTATAGACATGGTTTAAAATCCTCTAATCTTAGGTATGTTATTTTTAAGGGAGAAGAATTACTCTATTTATAAGAGAAGACAATGCAATATATCCAGTTCTGACAACAGGCAGGAATGTCAGATTCAGGAGAGCATAAATCATTGAATCTACAGAAAACTCTGAAACTTCATTTTAGCTAGTGGTTTTAAAACCATTTCCTCCACGTACCACGTATTAAACCAGAGTAGTGAACAAGTGAAAAACAGATTTATAAATATTAATCTCCCTCCTTGCCTTGTGCCTCCCTGGCACACTAATAAACAGAGCTATAACCCAAAGACAAAGGGAAGAATAAGTGTTCTAAATTCAAATGCTGATGGCACCATGTCTTACCAGGATTTGAAGGTAGGTGTCATCTGTAAAGGGCATTCAAATATTGGCATTACATTATAGCTGGTATGTCATCTACCAACTTGCAGTTTGATTATAAGTTTTATCATTTTTCTGTTTTTGGAGAGAAGATTCTTAACGGTTTCCAGGGAGACAAATCTCATAAGAAATCCACTCTTACTGTGTGCCATTTTGATTTCCACTTGGCTATCACTGTCCTCAGAGTTCTTCATCTGGGAGGAATCCTAACCTTCTGTGTTTTGAAAAAATTAATTTCCAACTCACAAACAACATCCCTTACAGTTAAATAACACAGAGCTAGTTAATCTAGACAGCAGAGTTCATACTAAACGCCCTCTCATTTCAGGCTGACCTTGGGGTTCATGAGCAGTACCGCCTTCTTATCCATGTGGCTGAGCAACACCTCAACTGCGGCCATGGTGATGCCCATCGTGGAGGCTGTGGTGCAGCAGATCATCAGTGCTGAAGCAGAGGTCGAGGCCACTCAGATGACTTATTTCAGTGGATCAACCAACCAGGGACTGGAAATTGATGGTATCTCATGCTGATATGGCCACAGTGGGGTCTAGTCATTTGGGCAATAGAATAAACTCAAGAATTCTGTATTGTATTTTGAATGAACTGTTCATATATACATGTACGACATGAAATTAACCTTCCTTTTTCTGTATTTCCCAATATTATACAAAGTAATTACATTACCCAAATATTTTACCTGCAATTAATGGTTGAATTTACATTCTCTGGCAAAAGGGAAAGAATAAGGATGACTTTTCTATTCTTCAGCCTTTTTATCTCTCTTTTAAGGGTTTATCAGTAGACCTTCAGGTTTCTCTTTTGTACTGAAATGACTTTTCTGCATAGTATTGGGAACCTTTAATTCCTATATTCTGTTTGGAAACAGCATCACATTTCACTTGGTTATTTCTGGCCCTGAAAAAACTACTCTAATGCAGTGAAAAAATGTTGGGAGGACATTTGTATTTGTAAAATACTTCATTACAAGGAGTGTTATCTCAGTATAAAGTGAATTCATTTATTTTTAGTTTCTAATAATGCTTTCATCTTCATACACCCCCCCACCCCTCAGACACATGCTGATAATCCTTCATTTAACTTTTTTTTTCTATTTACTATTTTGCAGAAAGTGTTGATGGAAATGAAACAAATGAGAAGAAAGAGAAAACAAAACCAGTTCCAGGGTAAAGAATATTGACATTTTGATTAGGATTTTCCAAATTACGTTTTAATAAAATTATAAACTGGGTCAATTTATTTTTCATATACAGGAATGATGCAGGGAAAACGTCAAGCAAGATGGAGCTGGAAAAGGTACATTAAATTTGATTCTTTCTAAATAATTATACATGAAATTATATTAGATCTGCAGTTAGATATTGTATGCATTTTCAGACCTGTAAAACCTATAAATTATTTGCTTTCCTAAGTCAAAGCCTGGTATAATGGTTTGATAAGCCTTCATGGGTAGACACATAATCAACATCCTGATAGGAAACATTTTAGGCTCTGAAAATTAGCATCATTTTCTCCTTTTACCAGGTTCATGGTGATGTCAGTGAGCACATGTGTTTTAAAGAAATGCAATGCTGGTCTCAGAATATTGTTTCACTTTCTTATTAAAATCTTGCTGCCTGTTTTATTAGGAGCATCCTGTCTTTCAGGTTATGAACTTAGAGCAGCTGCTATGTATGTAATTACAACCCAGTTATCTTTAGTGTCCTCACTGCCACTAGAAACTGCGATGCAGAATTCCCGAGTCGCTACTGCCCAATACAGATGGGGTTGGAGCTATCCTAGCTATTAAAGGAAGGAAGGAGACTTTTGTAAATTATCCCATAGAATTCATTTCCCCAAGATAAATCAATATAAAAATACTATACTAGGTTGTATTGGGAATAATATATCTCGAGACCACTGAAAAATAATCCTGCATAGAAATAGTCCTACGGTAACCATGGCATTAGAAATATGAGAGTGGAGCATATGTTCCTTCCTCAGGCTATGATGCATTAGCATGTAATTCAATAGGAAGAAGAAAACCCTTTTGTTATTTACAGAAATCTTCAAGGGAAGAACGATTTCTATATAAAGAGAAAACTGATACAAAGATTAATTTTAAGCCATTAGCTACCATATATATTAAGGGTTTTTAAGATGAGAATTGAATATGTATTTATGAAAACCTTATCATCTTTAGGGCTGGAAGTAATTGTTTTAAAACACAGAAAATCAATAGTATGCCAGGTGTATTACAGAAGAATACATTAGAAATAGTTTTTAAAAACTGTTGGATATACTTGCACTCAGTAACTTTCTTGTGGTCATCTTTAGAAACCCTGTTTTCTGGCATGATGCCTAAATTTTGGGTCAAAGCCTTTCCAATAGATTTGCCATCTAACGCTGCCCCAGGTGTTACAAGAAAGTCTATTGATGAAAAGACCTGCTCCTTAGTGTAAGCAGCTCAGAGTCTAGTGGGGAAGATGACTTTAGAAAAAAACAAGTGTGATATAAATACCACAGCACAGGCACATACAGAGGCCAAGTCTTCTAGAAGCTGGAGCAACCAGCTCACCTGGGCATATTGCCAGAAGGAAATATGAGGTAAAGGAATTTGAGAATGGAGGGAAGATGGCTCTTGCAGTCAGAGGAGTGCAGATTCCATGCCTGCAGGGACCAAGTCTGCTTGGTTCCCCATTCAATCCCCTAGCTCGTTCCATTGCCTGAAGCAGAGTAAGTATTCAATAGATACTTACCTTGACTAATGAAGGAGTGAAAAAGAAAGAGGTAATGTACTCAGAATACAATGTATTCAAAGACCCAATTATTTAGAGAGCCGGGCTTTTTCAGAAACATCTCCAGTGCAGGTGCCGGGTGATGAGTTGTAGGGAGTGAAACGTTCAGATAGGTTGGACCAGGATAAAAATAGCTGTTCATGCTATGCAGAGGAGTTTAGTTTCTCTTAAGGGGAATAGAGAGCCTTGAAACTAGGGGACGGCATGGTAGATTCTGCCCTTTGAAGAGCTTACTGTGGCAATAATGCGTAGGGCAGAAGGTATGGACCTAACTGGACTTCTTGATTAATCTGACTGGGTGGATGAGAGAGAGAAAAGCACTGGAGATGCCTCTGCTACAGGAAGCTGGGCAAAGGCGGGGTGTGAAGCCACTGACGAGGTGAGGAACACCAAGGGAGCAGTAAGTTTTGAACAGGGGAAAGTAAGATAATTTGGGTGTATCTTAGGCCGTAAAGATTGAGATCTGAGTTCAAACAAGGCCTTTGAACATAAAAATGTAGCTTTATGTCAAAGAAAAATTAAGGGATAACGTTGTAGTCTATAATAGTATTCTTTGTAAGAGATTGCATGAAAGTATTATTTTACATATTGTAGATTGGAGATGTGTTTTGATTTTTAACAATTATAAATCTTCGATATGCAGGTTTTGTATAGTTTGTGTTATAATTGTTATAAGTTGTACCTGTTCTTTGCCAGGTTTTAACTAGATAATTTAACATTAACTGATTATGTGGAAGAATCTGTATCTAGTTAAACTAGCTATGAAATGGAAGGAATATTCATAACATAATATTTTGGTCTTCTGCTTTCTTCATGATGTAGGTGAGGCATTTCATTTAATTAAAAGTAAATCCTGGGTGGTTTGACTTTGAATGTGAACTACAAGTCAAAAAGATCTAAATATCACTCCCTTTGAAGAGAAATGGTTTAAAATAAATTTCAAAGAAGAGGAAAAACAATGAAGGGCATAGACTTTTTGGTAATTTGCACTAAAAAATTGTTTGATTTCTATGAAAATTAATGAAATTTCACACATTGGAATCACCAATCTGTTGATTTGATATACCTATATATTGTAAATGATTACCACCAGTGTTATTTAACACCTCCATTGCGGTACATAATTACCATTTCTTTTTTTTTTTTTTGAGGGGGGGAATTAGGTTTATTTATTCATTCATTCATTCGTTTGTTTGTTTGTTTGTTTGATAGAGGTACTGGGGGTTGAATCCAGGACCTCATGCATGTTAGGCGCGCACTCTACCACCGAGCTATGCTCTCCCCCTCCATAATTACCACTTCTTTACTTCAATGTGACCATTTAAGATCTACTGTCTTAGTCGCTTCCAGCTATGTATATAGTACTATTAATTATAATAGTCATGCTGTACATTAGATCCCAAGAACTTACTCATCTTATAACTGGGAGTTTGTACCCTTTGACCAATGTCTCCCCATTCCTGCTCCCGCCTCCCCTCCCCAGACCCTAGTCACCACCACTCTACTTCTGTTCTATGAGTTTGGCTTTCATCGATCCCACGTATAAATGATACCAGGCAGCATCTGTCTTTCTCTGTCTGACTTACTTCACTTAGCATAGTGCTATTATAATGACAGCCATTCTAACAGGGGTGAGATGATAACTCTTTGTGCTTTTGATTTGCATCTCCCTGATGATTAGTGATGTTGAGTACCTTCTCATGTACCTGTTGACCATTTTTATGTCTTCCGTGTAAAAAAGGTCTATTCAGTTCCTCTGCCTGTTTTTCAATTGGATATCCTGGGGTGGGTTGGTTGGTTTTTTACTGTTGAGTTGTATGGGTTCTTTATATACTTTCTCAGCCAAAAAATTCTTGTTAATAGCACTGCAAAGTTTTGATACAGATAATAATGGTGAATAATTTGAAGATAATTTTCCCATTGCTGCTGCTCCTGCAGATGATGGTGATGATTATATGTTGATTTTGAAGATGATGGATATTCAGTAGTCCCTTAGATTCCAGGAACTGATTACAGAGCACTCCTAAGAGTCGTATTCCTATGCTTCGTACATAAAAAAGAGATGTCTTCCATGACTCCCCAGGTGCCCTTTTCACTATAGGCCACGACCCAGACAATAGCAGCGTTCCCTCCTTGTGCCCCGAATAAAAGCAGTGGGTAGACACTTAGCCCATAAATTCTGTGTTACTTCAAATTAGCTGAAATATTTTAGAGAAGAAAAGGAACAAGAAGAAAGGAAGGCCCCAAAAGAACACTGACATACATGGGGGAATAGATTCGGCAGGTTCCAGTGGAGAAACTGGGAGACCAATCATTGCTTATAGTATTTCCATGAGAAATAAGTTCTGAGTATCCAAAAGTCAACTTCTACACACCGAAAGAAAAACCAAGTTACTGTATTTTTTTCCTTCATGACACTAGTGTTATTCAAAGAGATACCCCAGATTTTTTATACCAGCTCAATTTCTAAACCTCCAGGCATCTTTGAATGAAAACAATTGGAAAATCAGTATGCTTTTAATGAGAGGCCTAAGGTAATTGTTTTCCGTTCATCTTATATAATTTGAACTTCCCCAAAGGGAAAAGTTCAAAGGAAATTTTCCTTGAACAAATTGAATCTTGCTTTTAATTAGGTGATGTTTAGTTTGGGGGTGAAAATTCTTGTTATTCAAAATCAAATTCTGTAAGACAGAACTCTTTAATGTTCTCCAAGAACTCAAGGTACCATGCAACAGTAATAAGCACGGGTCATAATACTAGGGACTAGGGACATTCGTTCTGTCAGGTAAGAAGCTAGCAATTCTAGAATATCTGGCCCCTAGATCAAATATGGAAAATGTATTTTACTTTAGATCGGGTAGGTGCTACAAACCACAGTCCTTCTTGACGACTTTCCCCTTCTCCTAGACTGGGTGAAATTGGGCAGCAAAGCCAATTGTTAGTGCTGCCCAGTCCTGACCTGACACAACCCAGGCGTCTCCTTTACTCATCCAGCCAAACCCTGACGTTTACAGAGAGGTGAGCAGGGAGGGACAGAGACTATCACACACCCTTGAGGAATCACAGAAGCATCAAAAAGACAAGAGGTAACAAGTGTTAAACGTGGGGAGAATAGGAACCCCTTTTGCGTTGTTGGTGGGACTGTAAACTGGCGCAATCACTGTGGAAACCCAGGTCATTCATTCTCCCTTTGGCTATGTCTGTTTTGTTGCTTAACCCATTGACTGAATCTTTTAATTCAGTAACTTAAATTTCAATTTCTATAAATTCTATTTGTCTCTTTTTAAGATTTGCTTGGTAATTTGATAGTCTCTTTCTCCTTACTCATATTTCCCATCTTCTAACTTGTTAATCACAAATAAGTGTATTTATATTCTGTGTCTAATTGCTCTAGTGTCTGAAGCCCCGTGGATCTCATTCTTTGGCCTATTTTTGTTTTCTGCTGGTTCTCATTTTTGTTGTCTTATTTTCTTGCATGTTTTGTGCTTTCAAATATTGAAATGCCGATTTTCTTTGAAA